CCCTAAACCGTAAACCCTAAACCCTATACCCTAAACCCGAGGTTCGGACCCACCCAACACGGCAGCAGGCGTTGTGTGGCGCTAAGCTTCGCGCAAGTCCATGTCAGGGCACCCTAAACCCTAAACCCAAAACCCTAAACCCTAAACCCTAAACCCTAAACCGGATGGACTGGAGGTTGGCATGTTCTCCCTTATACTAACGTTAACAGTCCTTAATCGGATTATAATCGGGGGTACCTATAATCCCTATTGAGGACTGTTAGTTTTTAGTTTTTAGGGTTTAGGGTTTAGGGTTTAGGGTTGTTTGTAGAAGGGGGAACATCCCGGGTTTCGGGTTTAGGGCTTCGGGCTTTTAGGACCTGGAGTCCTAAGCCCTGAACCCTAAACCCTAAACCCTAAACCCTGAACCCTAAACCCTAAACCCTAAACCCTAAGCCTTGTTCTGGAGGCCTTCAGGTGGGCCTAGGGTTCCCAAAAAAAGGGGTACCACGTTATACCCCCCCAAAAGGAATAGAATCCCCTCAAAAAGACCCCCCCCCTCCCCAAGAGGGTACCAATATTTTCGGAAACCCTCATATAGGGATCCTAATGTGATTTAAGGCTTATTCCTTGCCTCAGGGGTGTTGGGCTCTTTAGGTTGTTTAGGGCTTTAGTTTTTTTTTTTGGTGTGTGTGTGTGTGAGAGAGAGTTGGCGGCATGGAGGTTGTTTGGAGATCCGCCTTGCGATTGAAGCCCAGCCCTAAGCCATAAACTTTAGTATTTTGGGGCTGACAGAAGCTGAAGCTTAAGCCAGCAACGCACGGGATAATGCAGAAAGACGCAAGACACCCCACACCTCGGCCACATCCCATCCTCAACATAAAGGCTCAACCCCTGAACCCTCCTGAGGTCCAAGCTCAAGTGGCAGACGCAGGGTTGGGTTCAGGGGTTTCAGGGCTTGGGGGTTCGGGGGTTTAGCTGTTTAGGTTTCGGGAGAGTAGGGGATGTTTGGTGCGATTTAGGATTGAGTGCTCAGTGTTCCTAAGGAGCTCCTGCCGACGCTTCGCCTGAACTTCGACGAGGACGCGAGCCACCCGTTCACAGGTTGCTACTATCAAGAGATGAAGACTCGTACCCCTGAGGTTGTACCCCTGAAGGTTCCCCTTAATATACTCCTAAGATGACCCTTACTTTCCCTCAGGGATTCTTAAAAAGGGTCCCCAAAACCCAAGGGTACAACCTTAAGGGTCCGAGGTAGAACCATAAACCCTAAACCCTAGATACCGTCCAGAACAGAGTGCAGTCTCCCTCACCGCCTGTAGATCCTATGCCCTCCTGTGGTACCCATCTTCCCCTCTGAGAACCCGAAACCCTCAATGCTAAACCCTAAACTGGAGTTCTTTAGTCTTCCTTAAGTGCCCTAGACACCCTTGAGGGATTATTTAGCCTAAACCCTAAACCCTAAACCCTAAACCCTAAACCCTAAACCCTAAACCCTAAACCCTAAACTCTAAACCCTAAACCCGGAAAGCATATGCAAGCTACGAAGGAAGCTCTTTGGAAGCCTTCGGCTCTGAGCCCCCCAGGAGGTGCGACTCGTTGACCCAACCACCGCAGCGGTGATGCTGTCGGCGAAGCAGCTTGCCTCAAGGGTTTAGGGTTTAGGGTTTAGGGTTTAGGGTTTAGGGTTTAGGACATTTGTGCGGGTTCCCGAAGCCAGAACCCTCTAATCAAGCTCTAAACCCTAAACTTCCCCCAAACCCTAAACCCTATGAACCCTAAACTTCCCCCCCCTCATCTTCCGGCCCAAGGGCCCCTGATTCCCAAATCCCTAAGAAGCCTCCAAGCTCCTGCTGTGCGGCGTTGGCTCAGGAGGTGGCTGTGGGATTTAGGATTTAGGGTTTAGGGTTTAGGGTTTAGGATTTAGGGTTTAGGGTTTAGGGTGTAGGGTGCAGGGTTTAGAGTTCAAACTTCTTTAGGGTTTAGGCTTGAATTCGGGATGGCCGGGGTCCCCACTCCCACGCTGAGGGCCGGAACCTCTGATCTACCCGAAGCCCTAAACCCTAAACCCGGACTCACTTCATTGCAGAGCCTGGCTTGGTGGCTCAAGGCTTGCAGGCTGAGGCGAGTACCCTTACCCAAGGCACTCTGAGGGTTTCCGAAGTTCGGGGGTACCTTACTAAAGGGTTTAGGGTTTAGGGTTTAGGGTTTAGGGTTTAGGGTTTAGGGTTTAGGGTAGGGTTTAGGGTTTAGGGTGTAGGGCTGCGGGTTTAGGGTACAGGGTTTCATCATAGCCAGCAAAATTGGGCTTTGGGGTTCTTGAGGCAGGCCTAAGCCCTCAACTCATTCCGAGATTAGGGGTGCCTTATTGGAGTCCTTTTTATAAGGGAAACCCTAAACCCTAAACCCTAAACCCTAATTCCTAAACCCTAAACCCTAAACCCTAAACCCTAAACCCTAAACCCATATCAGGGGTCCCTGAGTATCGCAAACCCCCTTCGTCGCTGAGGGGTCCGCCCGTCGGTGGGGGGAACATCCCGCCCACCCAGATCATCGATCTGGCCCCCGCCGCCTGGTCAGAGGTTTGGGTCTAGGGATGTTGAAGGCCCTAGGCCCTAGCCCTAAACCCTAAACCCTAAACCCTAAACCCTAAACCCTAAACCCTAAACCCTAAACCCTAAACCCTAAACCCTAAACCCTAAACCCTAAACCCTAAACCCTAACCCTAAACCCTAAGCCCTAAGCCCTAAGCCCTAAGCCCTAAGCCCTAAGCCCTAAGCCCTAAGCCCTAAGCCCTAAGCCCTAAACCCTAAACCCTAAACCCTAAACCCTAAACCCTGAACCCTACACACGTGGGTGCCTCCTTTGGTGCTTATTGTTGATGGGGGAAGCGGGAGCCTGCACCAGCCATTCTACTATGAACCTCCCCCCCGTCGATGCTGTGCCTAGCTCACTAGGCTAGGACCCGGAGTAGGGGCCTTATTTCCTGTTTTAGGCTTCGGGTTCCCTGATAGTCCCTGAAAACCAAAAATGGCACCCTTTGTATTCCTAGGTTACTCCTGAGTCTTATGGCTTGGTGTGTAGGGTTTCGGGTTGGGACGCCCCCCCTTCTACTAACAGTCCTGAATAGGGAGTATAGTAGGGGGTACTATAATCCCTATTAAGGACGGTTGGTATAAGGGGAGCATCCCAAGGGTCGGGCCTATAGGGTTTGGGCCTGTAGGATTCAGGCCTATAGGGTTCGGCTCTTGCGTTTAGGCTTTGGAAGCCCTAAAGCCTAAACCCCCCAACCCCTAAACCCTAAACCCCTAAACCTCTAAACCCCAAACCCCTAAACCCCCAAACCCCCAACCCCTAAACCCCTAAACCCCTAAACCCCTAAACCCCTAAGCCCCTAAACCCCTAAACCCCCAAACCCCTAAACCCCCAAACCCCTAAACCCCTAAACCCCTAAACCCCTAAACCCCTAAACCCCCACACCCCTAAACCCCTAAACCCTTAAATACCCCTAAATACCCCTAAATATCCCTAAATTCCCCTAAATACCCCGAAATACCCCCCAAATACCCCTAAATACCTCTACATACCCCGAAGCCCCGAAACCCCTAAACTTAGAGCCCAAGCCCTGCTTTCTGCCAAGGCCATGCTGCGAGTATGGGATCCGAACACGGGCGCGTCAGTGGCGTGGCAGCGATGGTCTTGGGGGTTTGGGGTTTAGGGTTTAGGGTTTAGGGTTTAGAGTTTAGGGGAACACGAGTGCTCCTACGTGCACTATACCCGCCCTAGACCCTCTACAAGCTGTTTCGGCCCCTTGTGTGTATACCTTTTGGCTACTGGGCTTCGGGTTTAGGGTCGAGGCGTACAACCTTCATCTGCCCTTTTTTTCCGCAACTAGGCCGTAGGCCATGAGAGGGTGTTGTGTCATGCTGGCTACGGACCGACGCTACCCCCACCCGCCAGCTCCCTGTCAAGCTTTGAGGCTTAAGGTTCGGTTTAGGGTCGAGTTACATACCCTACTAAACCTAAAACCCTGAGACCTACACCTGAAACATAAAAGCGATAAGCCTGAAAGGCTACCCCCGCAGCTCGAGACCCAGACCTAAGACCCCAACTTCAAGCCCTAAATCCAAAACCTACAGCCGCAACTTTAAGCCCTAAACCCGAAACCCCTATACCCAGAAAACCCCAGAAACAACATACACCCCATAAACCCATGAACCCCGCCTGAAAGTGCACGCAGGTTTTCTAGGATTCTTTTCGTTTAGGGTTTTGGGTATAAAATTTGGGGTTTGGGGCCCCCCCCTCCCCCCCTCCCCCCTCCCCCCCTCCCCCCTCCCCCCCCCCCTCCCCCCCCCTCCCCCCTCCCCCCTCCCCCCCCCCCCCCTCAACACCCCAAATCCTCAATAACTAACAACTAACCCAATGGATTTAGGGTTTTGGGTTTACCCTCATTCAACCCTAAACCCGAAACCCTGAATCCTAAACCCTAAACCTGAACCCTGTGAGGTTCTGGATATCACTCCGCTGTCAGAGCTGGCAGCACAGACATCGCAGCCCGGACGCGCTTGGAGCTGGGTTTTGGAGTACTGTACCTAAATTCATTTTTTTGTTTCTGGGTTCCTATTATAGCTACTTATAGTACCTAAAAAGTACATACTTGTTGTTCAGGGTCTACTCCAAAGTAGGGGCTGTGATTGAACATGTATGTGTCCATCGCGCGCAGCCGGCATTTGAAGAGGGCGATTGGGGCTCATAATGAACTGCTAGCGCCAACAGTGCCAAGCCTTCTCTGACAAAGGCAATCTTGCTTGATTGCGCTTTTGTGCTTGAAGCGGTGTATGACACGATGGACGATACCAATAACAACTGCCGTGGCCTGCAGCTAGGCTGTTGGGGCTTGCTGTTTTCCTGTGTTGTAGTCCTGGTGCTGAGTTACTGGAGTGTTTTCTACCAGCGACTGCCACATCCAGTGGGACTGGTGATCTCTCTGCCGGTGCTCATTCGCCTTTCTCTGCGGAGGAATGCACCTGAATGGTACTACATGGCGCTGCGTCTGCAAGGCCCTGTTTAAGATCGAGCCTCCAAGGGATTCTGTGGCTGTGCCGTGTTGGTTTATGGTGGGATTTCGGATCCTTTGGGCAGCATTGCTGGACGTTGGCTTTGGATTGGGTCCCTTCCTTCAGCCAAAGAGTGAGGGCTCTTCATTGCATCGGTTTTGGGAGCTCGAGCGCCTTGGGCGGCTGGACCACGTCGGCCTTTGCACAAGTGAGTGGAGAGATTTCAAGGGAAGCATCTACTTCGATGATGGTGCTCTGACCCAGTATGGCGAAGTCCCACAGACCACGGCTGTTGACATCAGCGAGTGCTTCTCGGAACCTCAACTTCCTGAGTGCGGCAGCCGAGGGCTTTGTGGATTCATGGTGGGCATGGAGCAGCTGATGCCCGAAGTGACATGGAACCGGGAGAGTATGGACATGTTTCACGATGTGCTGCAAGAGGCCGCAGAACGCTTTGCAGGGAATCTCACAGCACAAAGCCCACTGCTCTCCTTGGCGAACCCAAAGCAGGCAATCGCATCTCTTGGGGCCAGGCTGCCACTCTTCGTCCTGTTGCTGTTCCTCTTCATGCCGTTTGGTGCGATTTCGGCCATTTTGGTGGCCCTGTGCCGGCGAGGACCCCAAAACGCCTTGCATGAAGGCCGGCCATTCGTAGACAGCCCCAGCTCGAGCGACAGTAGCGACTGAGCACGAGAGATTTGCGGCGCCCTCGTGTGCTACAGCGGGTCTCGAAGCTGTGCTTGGCGCACAAAATCTGCCCTTTCATGTTTTTTTTTTTTTTGGGGGGGGGGTTCCCTTACAACCAGCACCACAGAAGCACCCTTATCATAGTTGGGATTACTGGGCTACGTAGGTGTTTGCCGATGTCGGCTGAGAATTGGATAGGCAAGGCGAGTTGCACCCAGGCGTGTTGAGGGTGGTCCATGTCCAGAGCGAGCTCTTGCGCTGGGGTTTTAGGGGCTCTTGGGGGTCTTGAGTTGGGAGTTTAGTATGGGTTTAGGGTAGAGTGTTGAGGGTTGGTAGGGTTTTTGGGTTTGGGCAAACTGTCTAGCAGGTCAGGGTTTGGATCTAAGGGATCACGCCTAGTGAGTCGAGCGTGAAGGGCTGTGCGCCCTCCCCCCCCGCATTTTAATATGTGGGCAGTGACAGAGTCAGAGGCTAGCAGTTGTGAGCTGCTGGGTTGCGAGTACGAGACCCGAAGCCCTCAGCGCCCTTAGCCCTGAACCCTAAACCCTAAACCTCGCTGAAGGCTCAGACTTCCTGGCGAAGACCCGGTTTCCCTAGTTTAGGAAGCCGCAGCTCAGACCCCATACCCTAAACCCTCCCACCTGACCCACACTACTGGGTTTTGGAGTACTATACTTTAATACTTTTTTGTTTCTGGGTTGCCATTATAGTTACTTATAGTTACTTATACCTAAAAAGTATATACTTGTTTCTCAGGGTCTACTCCCAAGTAGGGACTACCAGGCATGAGTAGGGGCACCCTAGTTCTGGATGGGCTCGGTATCGTTGTTTTTTTTTTTTTTTTTTTGGGGGGGGGGGGGGGGGTAAGGAGGGGGGGAGGGGGGAACGGGTGGGTGGGAGGGGATGGTGGCGGGGGACACTGTAACCCCAAAACCCTCAACCCTAAAATTGTGCGCCAGAAGGCTGAGAACTCAGCCACGGTACTTTAGACTCTAAGGAAACCCTTAAGCGGGTTTAAGTTTTAAGGTCTAGGTGATCGAGGGTCAAGATTCTTGGAAAACTCCAAAACCCCTAAACCCCCCTAAACCCCTAAACCCCTAAACCCCTAAACCCCTAAACCCCTAAACCCCTAAACCCCTAAACAGAAGAGAAAACGGAACCCCTTGGCTCATGCTGATGTCATCTGAGGTACGAGCTGGAAATCCGCGGCGATGTCATCGAGGAGCGTTTTGGGACCCTGCATAAGCCCAAATATTTTATTCCTAGTAGTATTCCCTTATGATTATGCTCCCTTCATGATTATACTATAGTATCCCCCAAGGCCCTCTTCTAATTATTAAGGCCCCTATATTAACCAGACAACTTTACCATGCCCACAGAAAACTTTACCAAAATGCCCTTCGGTAAACTTGTCCGTGGGCATGGAAAGAATTTACGTGGGCATGGCAAAGTTCGCTGTGGGCAGAGATATCCCAATGTGGGTTGTTTCGGAGGTTTCCCGGGAAGGGTCGGGGCCCGCTCGGGACGCCCCCTGGGACACTGTCCCGGAGCACCCCCGAGACGCAAGTATTGACAACTGATTGACAAGTTTTTCAAGGGTTTTGTAGTATTTTCAGAAATGCGTTCTTGTGATTTAGTGAAGCTGAAAAATACAATACTTTCCCAACATTACTACGGGATCCAAAGGGTGGGTGGGTAGATATTCGAAACCAGAGTAGCGAGCTTGACTAGTGAATGCTTGAACTGGAGATGCTGAAACCTAAACCCTAGACCCCAGACCCACCCCTGGGCCAGGACGTGTCGGGCAATGCCTGGCCAGGAGGCGCGGGGTCCTGTGGTCCGATCTTGTGGTTTTGGGGGGTTCAGGGTTTAGGGTTTGGGGTGTAGGGTTTAGGGTTTGGGGTTCAGGGTTTGGGGTTTAGGGTTTAGGAACGAAAGAGGATCCCGAGTGTTTCGGGCTCAAAGAAGCAGGCAGGGTGGGGAAATGTGTTAGGGTTTGCGGGCTTGGGGCCTAGATTTCGACGGTAGGAGCCGTGTAAACCCTAAAGAACCTCAACTTCATTCCCTAAACCCTCCACCCCATTTGCCTGCAGACCCTAAACCCTAAGCCCAGAACCCTAAACCCCACCCGGGCTGAGACCCACATTTGGGGGTAGCTTGGGATCCCGCATGATGTTCATCGACACGGAACCCCCAAACTCCCGATTTGCATCTGGTCAAATTTCCGAAACCCTCAATCAACAGTTCTAAGCCCTAAACCCTGAAACGAAGAAGTGCTCAGAGCCTGGTTTTGAGAGTAAAGACCTTTGCAGGTCTCAAGGTTTATAGGGCGATAGGGTTTTAGGGTCAGGGCTTTTGGGGTCTAAAGGTTTAGGGCTTTGGGTTGTTAAGGCTTGGGGTGTTTGTTCAGATTCAGGGGCTAAGGGTTCAGTGTTTTGAGCATCAGCTAGTCATCTGTCTACGATTATAACGGGGTACTGCGTATAATGCTACATGGTGAGTCACCATCGGTGACGGCAACAAGCGGTGAATTGATAAAATGTATCCTTTTACGGAATCGATGGCCCAACAAGCAACGACTGTCGCAGTGAACAAGTCATCGAAACCGTTGTCAAACAGACAGGCACTGATAGACACGACTCGATTGAAGCGCTGCAATAGGTGAACATCGAATTATCTGCTTGTCGCGCAGCATCGTGAAGAGAACAAGTTGCTGCCAGCCAGAACGTCTCTTTCGTTGCAGGTACGATTCTCTTCACCACCCAGTGCTCCATCTACGGCTGCTTAGATGCCACGACTGCCCGGCTCTCAGAACGGACGACTTTTTCCCAAACCCTACCGAGCTGTATACTGTCTTGGCGTACATGAGGGATATTCCCATGTAAAAAGGTACCTTGGGACTTATCCCTAAACCCTGAACCCTGAACCCTCAACCCTAAGCCAGCAATCACAACCCTAACTGAGCCTTCATGCTTTGGGGCGCGGGCTGAGGGTGCAGGCGGTCCAGAGGCTTCCATATGCCTTATATGCTTAGGGTTTAGGGTTTAGGGTTTAGGGTTTAGGGTTTAGGGTTTAAGGTTCCTAAACCTTGAACCCCTTCACCCTCAACCCCTAAACCCGAAGCTCTAATCCCGAATAAGGGGATATGGGGTTTCCGACATTATGGGTACCTTCTGGGGGTCCTTATTTTGAGGGGATCCTCTATTCATAGTTTATATTCGGGTCCCTTTATTATCGTAAACCCCATATCGGACTCCCCGGCCCCAGTAGGTGTGCGATGCAGCCTTTCGCCTGGGCTTCTGCCATAGCGGTGCACTCAACCCTCACCCCTGGCTTGGAAAGCCCTCCAAAGCAACCCTTAAACCCTGAACCCTAAACCCTAAACCCTAAACCCTATACCCTAAACCCTAAACCCGGCCTCGGAAATGACAGCATATCACGGTACATCATATTGCAGTCGGTTCGAGTACTGCGGTCTGCAACGAGGCTGCTACCCAACCCAAGTTCTTTTGGAAACCGCAGTGTGTAGCGCTCCTCCGCAAGTCTAAGCCCCGACAGTACCCGCAAGGCTTCTGGTCAAACCCTAAACCCTATAACCCTGCACCCTAAACCCTAAACCCTAAACTCTAAACCCTAAAAACCCCACTATAGGCCCCGACCAAAAGAACCGACGCCTCCTTTCGACTAGAGGCGGCGCCGACGACGGACACTGCTGGGTTTGAATCCTCCATATAACCCCCCAAACCCGAAAGCCTAAACCCTAAACAGTAAACCCAAAACCCTAAACCCTAAACCCTAAACCCTCCCCAGGCCCTAAACGAGAGAGAGACAGAGCTCCTGGTGTATTGCAAGCGTAACTGTAAAGACCTACAAAGTACCTTTCTCAGGGGACGGGATTGGAGTGTAGGGTGGCGCAGGGCTGCGAAAGACTTGGTGAGTTTCAATTGTTGTGCTTTCGCCAGTCACAGGGAGAACGCTTCTGTTACTCCTAGTTGTGGTCAGCCAGTTCTCCCAATTATTGTCCCTGCCCTAAGCCTTAAACCCCTTAAACCCGAAGTCCAGATGTAATGGCTTCGTGTTATCCCAGACTGTCCTTATCCTCCCTAGGTACGATAAAAACCAATCAAAGGTAAACCCTCCCCCCCTCCCCTGAAAAACCTGAGCCGTAAACGCTAAACCCTAAACCACAAGCACTAAGTACTCCTAAACCTGAACCCTAAGCCCGAAGTACCCCTGTTTAAACGCTAATTAAACCCTAATCCCTAAACCCGAAGTACCCCTGAACCCTAAACCCGAAATACCCCTAAACCCTAAACCCGAAGCACCCCTAAACCCTAGACCCTGCACCCGAGGGTAGCCCTATACCCTACACCCTCAACCCGAGACCCCAAACCCTGAACCCTGAACCCTAAACCCTAACCCCTAAACCCTAAACCCTAAACCCTAAACCCTAAACCCTAAACCCTAAACCCTAACCCTTAAACCTTAAACCCTAAACCTGAAGGAACCCCAACTGGAGGAGAGCCAGCGGGGGGGAGCCAGCAGCTGAACATGTCTAGGGTTTAGGGCTTAGGGCTTAGGGTTTAGGGTTTGGGGTTTAGGGTTTAGGGTGAAAGGCTCCACCCTCCAACCCCCTAAAACCCTAAGCCCTAAACCCTAGACCCGAAGCCCTGAACCCGAACCCCGAAACCCTAAACCCTAAACCCTAAACCCGAAACCCTAAACCCTGCACGCGACAGGACACTCCTCCCGAGGATCCCGGGCCTTCCATCGCTGCCCCCCCCAGTGGAGTTGGGAAGCGACTTAGGGCTTAGGGTTCCGGGGCTTAAGCGTTTAGGGTTTAGGGTTTAGGGCCTAAACCCTAAACCCTAAACGTGGCTTTTCCCAGGGTGCCAGTCTCGGGTTGCTGGGCCCTAGGAAAGAATCTGTTGGCCAACTTGCGTTTTAACAGTTTTTGTACCGGGTTTAGGGTGGGTTCAGGGTACATACCCCTATGTGCT